TTGTGGGGTGAATCCGACGTGAAACCGAGACCCCCCCTACCAGGAAATCGATTTCGGTTTCGGGTTCGTGTCGTGCGTGCCGTGCGTGCGTGCGGGCGAGGCGAAGCTGCGTGGGCGGGCGAGAGGAAATCCTCCTGTGGCTGGGCCGCGGCCGGACCAAATGTTTTTCCTCCGGCGGCCTGTGGCGCGCGGTGTCCCGCCGGTGTCCCGCTGGTGTCCCGAAATCTTCCTGTGGCTGGGCCGCGGCCGGACCAAATGTTTCTCCTCTGGCGGCCGGTGGCCCGCGGTGTCCCGCTGGTGTCCCGCTGGTGTCCCGAAATCCTCCTGTGGCTGGGCCGCGGCCGGGCCGCGGCCGGACCAAATGATTCTCCTCCGGCGGCCTGTGGCGCGCGGTGTCCCGCCGGTGTCCCGCCAGTGTCCCGAAAACCTCCTGTGGCTGGGCCGCGGCCAGACCACATGACGCTCCTGCCGCCAAACGGTGGCCCGCGGTGTCCCGCTGGTGTCCCGCTGGTGTCCCGCCGTGGGTTGTGCATTTCAAAACATCGCCGCTTGCGGCGACTCTCCAATGCAAGTCTGCATGCAAGCCGACATGCAGACCGAAAAACACATCGAAATGACATCGATTTGCACATCTCACTGCAAATCGTAAGGCGCCGTGGGCGCCGCGGCGAGCTTTCCAATGCGCGTCGACATGTAGATTAGAAAGCAAATCGAAATGCACATCGATATGTAAATCCAAATGCAAATCGAAAGGCACATCGTCATGCCGAGCTGTATGCTGTGCCGCCGATGTCGCTGTCAGACCGCAGCCAGTTGCTCAAGCAAAACCGGCATACCAATCGCGGATCCGCCTTGGAGCCCGTCCGAACCTTCGGCTGGTGCCGCCCTTGGTCGTCGTTCGATGAGTTTTTGAGCAACCGGGTCGGCAGAGCCGTCGCCTACCGAGCCCAGGTCGCCGTTGTCAGTGAGCGGGCCGGCCGTGCCACCGAATCTGCGCCATGAGTCTTGGAGTTGAGCGACATGGGCGGAGACGGCCCACCTCCAGCCATCGTGACATTCATCTCGGTCATCGCGTGTCATCGTTTATTTTCGCCATCGCATCGCCTCACGCTCACGAGCACAACCACCCCAACAACCATGACAGCCACCACCCCGCACACCACAGGCATCGTCAAAACCGAACCGTCTCCATAAACAGTGATGTTCCGACGAGGCATCGTGACAGCCGCCGCGCCGCGCACCGCGCGGGCAAAGAAACGCCACTCGATTCTAATCGCACTTCTTCTCGTCGCGCGGGTACAGACTGCCACCTGGGCGTTGGGCGAGAAGAAGGGGGGTGGGAGGAAAAGCTCGCGCGGGCAAATAAAGAACATCTGATTCTTTGTTGTGGGAGGTGGGGGGTCTGAGGTTGCCTGGGCGAGTAAATCCCATCTGAGAAGAGGGATGGGCGAGGAGTAGTGCGAAACTTTCCGTGGAGCGGTTTCGGCTCGAGCAGGCTACGTAGTCCTCGCCCCGCAACTCCCACGCCCATCTCGGCCCGCGCAGTAGGGGCCAGGCTTTGCCAGCCGCCCTCCCCCAGCGCACGCCGTTCCTTCGGGTGGCCGCGCGGGCGCCGTGGCCGTCCAAGCGTACCTGTTGGAGAACCGCGTAGGCAAGATCTCCTGGCACACCGTCCTGAATAACCATGCCTCGACGCGCCCTGAACTGCGCGGAGGCCCTGTGGTCAGGGCCGTCTCGGACTGTAAGGAATTCGCCGCGCCAGGCCTTGCCAGTGCAGAGTGGCGGTGCACCCTGAGTTTGCCGAAGAGCTTTGCACCAGGAGATGGCCGTCGGGTTGTTGTTACTGGGGGAGGTACAAGCAAAAACGCAACGTCGGAGCTCGCTTGCCTTCGAGCCGTCGTTTGGCTCATCAGCAAGTCTCCGAAGGACTTTGTGTTCCGACCTGTGCGCTGGAAGGTATCGCCAATCCGCCTGGCGCCGGCCAGCTGGCGGCCAATCCGCCTGGCGCCGGTGCGCGGCACCAGGCATTGCCAGCGCACGCCCCTGCGCGCTTTCCTGGCGGCAGCGAGGAGGCTGGCGCGCCTGACGCTGACGCGCGCTTGGTTGCACTTTTGCACCGATGCCTGAACGCGCATTGCGGTGAGTTCGATCGGTCTAAGATTTTGCACAAAAGGATGGGGCTCGGACCAGAGGACGAGCACGCGCACGAGAAATTCAATGAGCTCTTGGTGCCTGGGGGGCTGAAAGCCGTCATCGAGAGCCACGCCGACCTCGCGTGGAACCCCATGGCCAAGACAGGAATGGTCATCACATGGGCACGCGGGGCACGGCAGCTGGCAGTGGACGACGTGCCCGCAGTGGAGAACGCCCCGCCCGAAGAAGGCGTGCGAGCACCAGGCTTTGCCAGTGCGTCAAGTGTTGACGTGGGAACCCTGGCGCCGTCAGGAGATGCTGCCGCCCGCGCGCAGGCGCCGCTGGCGCCAAGCTTTGCTGGCGCCTCGAGCGCCGGACCTGCAACCGAGGCAGCGTCGGGTGGCGCCGCGAGCAGTCACTGTGGCACCGCAGCGCGCACGTTCGACCGCGTCGACTAGCGCTGAGGTGAGGTTCGCGCGATTGAGAAGCGCACGCGGGGACGGCGCTGCGCGACAACGTCGAGCGCGCTTCGCCGACATCGCCACACCACATCACGTTCGCGTGCGCAATCACACTACTCATTAGGCTCCGCCCCACAGGCATCGTCAGAACAACAATCGCCACTTTTGCCCATTGCTGCTCCCCCCAAACATCCTTATCACCCGCAGGGTGGTCGTATAGGTATAGGTATAGGTGTATGTAGAATCTATGTAGATGTATGTATGTGTGTATGTATGAATGTTTATATATAAATTTAGATGTGTGTTTGTGTGCGATGCGCTTGCGGGGGTTCCAAACAGCCAGCCGTTGACGATAACAAACATGATTAATTGTAGTCAGGATCTGGACGTCTGAGCAAGAGGAACTGAGTTCGCTGTACAGTCTTACAGTCTTGAAGCGGATTCGGTGGGGCGGGTAGTGCCACCTGTAGTGGGAGTGGTTTTGGTAGTGATGGTGTTAACGGTCGTTGGAAAAGTAAGTGTTGCAATAATGATGGTTACTGCAGCAGAAGTAATAAGCAGTATGATCAGCAGTAACAGTCATAGTATTGTCAGCGTCAGTCGTAATAGGTGTAGTGGTCGTGGCAACGCTCGTGGTAGTGCTGGCTGTTCGCCTGATGGTAGTGTAGGGGCGGTTGGGGTGGGTGGAACGGCTGACCCAGGAAGGCAGGCCTCCCGATTGTGGCTTGGCCGCGGCCCCGCTCCAGGGCGTGGCTGTGCTCGCAAACGGGTCCTCGTCCCGTGGCCGCCTCCGCTTGTCACCCCTCGCCCTCTGCGGAGCGGTGCGCCGTGAGCCAGAGGCATCGTGGTTGCCGGGGGCGTGCCGGCGACGTATCGGTGATCCCAGGCCGATGCCTGAGGCGTCCCACGATGTCGACGTAACCGCTGTTTAGCCATCGGGGGCCCATCGGCGACGCATCGGCGATTCCATGCCGACATTTGCTGATTACTTCGATCCGCCTGCTGTGCTATTTTCCATTTACTTGGTGACAGTCGCCACCAGTGTCGCCCCACCATACCAATACTATATGTGCGTCGCTCCCCCCCGGGCGACGCGCGCACCGAAAAATCGTTTAGTGTATGCGTCGTGGCTGGCGTGGTCGCTGTGATCGTCGGGTGGCCGTGCAGAGGAGAGGAGGGAGCACGAGGAGGGAGGACGAGGAGAAGGACGAGGATGAGGAGGGGGGATGTTGAAGAGGAGGGACAGGAGCAGGAACAGGAGGATGAGGAGGATGAGGAGGGTAAGGAGGATAGCAAGAAGGTAGATAACGATAAGGACTCGGAGGAGGATGAGGAGGAGAGGGGATGAGAAAAAGGGATGCGGTGGGATGGTGATGATACTGGTGTTTATGATGCTAACTCGCATGATTGCGATAATGCTGATGATGGTAATGATGAGAACGATGCTGGTGATGCTGGTGATGATGATAATGATGATGATGAAGGCAATGATGGTGATAATGATGACGATGATGCTGATGGTTATGATGATGATGACGATGATGACGATGACGATGATGATGATACGATAATTCTACTGATGATGATGGTGCTGATCATCATGATGATGCTGGTGATGATGATGATGATGATGATGATGATGATGCTGATGATGATGATGATGATGATGATGATAATGGTTATGATGATGATGATTTGGGTGATGATGATGGTGATGGTGATGGTGATGATGGGGAGGTTGAAAAATAGGAGGAGGAGGAAAGCAGGAACAGGATGATGAGGAGGGTGAGGAGGATAAGGAGGATAACAAGAAGGCGGATAACGACAAGGTCTCGGAGGAGGACGAGGAGGAGAGGGGATAAAGGAAAGGGATGAGGTTGGATGATGATGATGCTGCCGATGATGATGTCGACGATGATGATGATGATGATGATGATGATGATGATGATGACGATGATGATGACGATGACGATGACGATGATGATGCTGATGGTGGTGATGATGGCGATGAGGATTATGATGATGCTGATGAAGATGTTGATGATGGTGATGATGGTGATGATGGTGATGGTGATGGTGATTGCGATGATGACGATGCTGATGATGATGGTGATAATGATGGTGATGATGATGCTGCTGATGATGATGATGATGATTCTGATGATGATGATGATGATGATGATGATGATGATGATGATGATGATGACGCTGATGATGATGATGATGATGATGATGATGATGATGATGATGATGATGATGATGATGATGATGATGATGATGATGATGATGATGATGATGATGATGACGATGACGATGAGGATCATCGTAATGCTTCTGCTGCTGCTGCTGACGACGACGACGATTACGACGACGACGAGGACGACTTCTTGCCCCGTGGCGCCGCGCAGCCCGTCTTGGCTCGCCCCCCGTCCTCTTAGGGGCCGCTGCCTCGGAGAGAGGCGGCTACCCGTCTGGGCCGCTCGCGTTCCCGGCAGGGAGCCCGACACTCTCCCCCTCGGGGGCAACGGCAGGGGGGGATACAGTCGGACCGAGACATAAGATCCAGGTCGGTTCGGGGAGAGTGCCCTAATGTGGGGGCGGCAAAGAGGGGGGTGATGACTAGAATCTCATGGCGTTGACCATGATGTCTCCCCAGATTTCACGGCGCTTCTTCTTATTTCAATGCGTCCCTGGCCCCCCCCTGGGCCGCGCATATGCTGCAGGCCATGATTTGCACCCTCCCTCTTGGACGCCCCCCTCTTGGACGCCCCCGAGAGTACAGTCGGACCGAGGCATCAGATCCAGGTCGGGTACCCTAGTCTTATTGGTGCTTGTTGGGTGTTCTTGCCACCCTGGGGAGGGCACCCTAGGATGTTCTGTGTGTTCTGGCCGACGGAGGGTCTCGTGCTCTTCGGCGGTGTTCTTCTGGCCCAGGTCCGCCTGCAGGCTCAGGGCGGGGCTACGTCGGCCCCCGATCGCCCGTTAACCGTCGATAAGGGCCCGCCACCCCCGCCCCCGCGCAGGTCGGGGAGGCTCCAGGATGGGCTCGGGGGGGGATGCATCGACCCCCGCTCGATCACTTGCCTTCGAGAAGGGCCCGACGCCCCCGCCTCCGCCCAGGAGCGTACGGGTTCGCCACCGGGGGCCTGCCGCCGATCCAACGGCGACGTATCGCCGATCCCGAGTCGATGTTCCCCCTCCCCCCCCGAGCCAGGCCCCCACCCCCCTCTGACGTTGCCCCTAGCCCCCCCCAAGCCCTCCAGGGGTCTCCGCGAGGGCGCGCATGGCCGGCCTGGGGATGGACCTGCAGCCGGACGACACGAGGGCGAGACCTTCTCCTCTCGGCTCGGCGGGACCGGTTGCTCCAGCAAAGCACCCTAAAAGCAGCAAGAGGGATGCGCCAAGAGCTCTTGCCATCTTTTCGGAGCCATCTCGGATGACCTCCAAGACGGTCCAAGAAGCGAAATTATTGAAAAACCCATGGGTTTTAAGCCCTTTCGTTAAACAACAGCGTTTCGCTCGAGACATTCCCTAACACATGCCTTCGAACGGGCCCTCGAAACCATCTGGTATCCTCCTCCTCCTTCTTCCCCTTCTCCTCCTCCTCCTCTTCCTTCTCCTCCTCCTCCTCCTCCTCCTCCTCTTCCTCCTCCTCCTCCTCCTCCCCTTCTTCCTCCTTCTCCTTCTCCTCCTGTTCTTCCTCTTCCTCCTCGTCCTCTTCCTCCTCCTCCTCCTCCTCCTCCTCCACCTCCTCCTCCTCCTCCTCGTCCTCCTCCTCCCCTTCTTCCTCATTCTCCTTCCTGCCCCTCCTCGTCTGTATCCTCCTCTTCCTCTTCCTCCTCCTCCTCCTGTTCTTCCTCATCCTCCTCGTCCTCTTTTTCCTCCTCCTCCTCCCGTTCTTCCTCCTCCTTCTCCTTCCTCCGCCTCCTCCTCCTCGTCGTCCTCCTTTTCCCCCTCCTCATGCTCCCGGTCCTCCTCTTCCTCGCCTCCTCCCCTCCCCTCCTCACCATTTTTTCCTGCTGTGCTCCTTCTCGGCCTCCTCTCCTCCCCTCCTCCTCCGCCTCCCCCTCCTCCCCCCCCTCCTCCTTCTCTCCTCCTCCTCCTCCTCCTCCTCCTCCTCCTCCTCCTCCTCCTCCTCCTCCTCCTCCTCCTCCTCCTCCTCTTCCTCCTACTCCTCCCCCTCCTTCCCCGGTCATCGTCTTCGCCGTCGTCCTTCTCGTGCGGAGGAGTGAGGAGGATAAGAAGGAATATGCTTGTTAACTTTCGGGGGGCGCGTGTCCATACGTATCCCTTCTGAGCGTTCGGAGAGCTCGCCTATATTACATTCGGTCGCGATGATGCTGCAAGTTCTTGCGCAACTCTTCCCTTTCCCGCGCTTCCCGTTCATGTCAAGACATCCTCAAAACATCGGCTCCAGAGGGGTCTCCGAACCAATATCTTCTTACAATTCTTCCCAGAGAGCTCCAAAACGGCCCACAAGAGCTCCCAAAAGCGCCCCGAGGGACGGGACCTCCAAGATGCCGCCAAGAGGCGCCCAGAGGCCCCCAGGGACCTCCAAGAGGCCCCCAAGAGGCGTCCAGAGGCTCCCAACAGCACCCGAAGAGAGCTCCAAAGGCTTCCAAGAGGGTACCAGATGGCCCACGACGGTCCCAGAGCGCCCCAAGTCGGCCTAAATGGGCCCCCAGAGGGTCCAAAAGACTCCGAAGAGAGCCCCAAGAGGGCCACAATATATTGGAGAGGCCTGACGGCCGGTGCCGCCGACCCTGATCGAAAGGGCTAGGAGTGGGGGGAGGAAGCGGAGGATGAGGAGGAGGAGGAGGAGGAGGAGGAGGAGGAGGAGGAGGAGGAGCAGGAGGAGGAGCAGGAGGAGGAGGAAGAGGAGGAAGAGGAGGAGGAGGAGGAGGAGGAGGAGGAGGAAGTGCATCCTTTGTGTGCCCGCTCGAAGAAAGTGCGCCCCGGGAGTGTGATATTCTGACTTGGGACGTGCTCCCGGAAGAGGAAGAAGTGCATCTCGGGCGTGCCCGCTCGAGGAAAATGCGCCCTAGGGGGGTGGTATTTTGACTCGGGGCCCGCTCCCGGGACGCCTCTGCGGGAGGAGGAGGAGGAGGAGGAGGAGGAGGAGGAGGAGGAGGAGGAGGAGGAGGAGGAGGAGGAGGAGAGCAGCAGGAGGAGGAGGAGGAGGAAAAGGAGGAGGAGGAGGACCAGGAGGAGGAGGAAGTGCATCCCGTGCGTGCCCGCTCGAGGAAAGTGCGCCCCGGCGGGCGTCGTATCTGCCCCGGGCCCCTCCCTCCCCCCTCCCCCCCCCCTGCGGGGAAGGGATCAAAGGGAAGGGGCTTCCCTTCGACTCCACTACGACGTCGTTTAATTTCGCTCTGGATAGCGCGCTTGAGGAGGAGAGCCCTGGGAGGGGGAGAACGGAGACGACAGAGACGACGAGTCGAACGGAGAAGCCCCTCACACACGCCGACAGGGTCGGCGGATTTCCAAGACGGGCCGGTAGGGTCCCAAGACGGCACCCAGCCGGTTCCAAGATGACGGGAAGCGCCTCTGGCGTGGACCGTTGGTTCAGGGGTACATTCGACGGGAAGCGCGTCTGGCGTGGTCCGAGGATGCGCCGCTGTCGTTGCTATTTCCCTTCTCCTCGTCACTTTCTGGGCCACATGTTTGCATCTTTGAGTTTCAAAGCGGCCCCAGAGAGCCGCCGAAGGCCCCCTAGAGGACCTCCAAAGCGCCCCAATAGACCCCCAAGTGGGCCCCACGAGCCGCCCAGAGGCCCCCGAGAGCACCCGAAGAGGCCCCAGGACTGCCCAAGAGGGCCCCAAGACGGCCCAAGACAGCCCAAGATGGCGCCAAGTTGGCCTGAGAGAGCCCTCATGCAACCCTGGGACATGCCCAGGCAGCCCAAGAAGACCCCAGTAGCCCCCAAGAGGACCCCGACAGCCCCAGTGGGGGTACCACATGCGCCCGTCACACCCATTACAGCGCTTCGTGGCCCCATAGGTAGCTCCACCGAAGTCCCCAGTGGGGGTGGTTACATGCGTCCGCCACACCCAGTACAGCGTTTCGTGGCCCCAAAGGGAGCTCGATCGGAGGCCCCGGTAGAGGTGGCCACATGCGTCCACCACACCCAGTACAGCGTTTCGTGGCCAGTGGGACCGTCCACATGCGTCCCGCACACCCATTTTGTCATTTTCACCCACCCAGTACAGCGTTTCGTCACCCCATAGGGAGCTCCACGTTAGGCCCCACTGGGACCGCCAACATGCGTCCCACACACCCAGCTTGGCAGTTTCACCCACCCAGAATAGTGCTTCGTGGCCCCAATAGGAAGCTCCACCGAAGCCCCCAGTGGGACCGCCCACGTGCGTCCCGCATACCCACTTTGGCATTTTCACCTGTCCAGTATAGCGCTTCGTGGCCCCGTTAGGAGCTCCACCGAAGCCCCCAGTTGGACCGTCCGCATGCGTCCCGGAAACCCAATTTGGCATTTTCACCCACCCAGTACAGCGTTTCGTGGCCCCATAGGGAGCTCCACCGACGCCTCCAGTGGGACCGTCTGCATGCGCCCCGGAAGCCCAATGTGGCATTTGCACCCACCCAGTACAGCGTTTCGTGGCCCCATAGGGAGCTCACCGACGGCCCCAGTGGGACCGTCCGCATGCGTTCCCCCCCCACCCAGTGCAGCGCTTCGTGGCCCCACAGGGAGTTCCACCGAAGAAGATATTCACAATTTGGGTACCCACAACTGCATATGGTTGGGTCCTTCGCCAGGATAATGTTTGACACATTTTTAATGTTCGTCCAAAATCCCCCTGTAGGGGGACAGGCCCGACCTGAGCGTACGCCGTGGGCGTTGTCCACTGGAGACAGGACGTCGCCTGCCCAACAGCGGCCGCGGTTGGTTTTGGACGCCGTTTGCTGCTGGACACTGTGCCCATTCCTTGTGCACCCGTTTCGGGCGTGCCACTCGGCGGTTCGAAGATGGGGCCCTGGGGCTCGGTGGGGGTCCCAGGTTGAGCTCGCATTGTTGGAAGGCCCCTCGCTCTTGGGGTCCCATCTCTCTGGGCGCCGTTGGTGGAGGTGCCGACCCTCCTCGCTGCCCCCGTCCGGCTGGCGTCGGCCGGGGTTGGCCCTTTGGGGCCAGGTCTTCGTGTAGCCCTCTCTGGCGCGCGGAGCGCGCCAGGGGGGCCAAGCGCCGATCCAAGAAATCCGCTCGGATCTCCAAAAGTTTCTGCTTGTTGCCGTTCTTCTTGCTCTGGGGCATTCGCTCTGCCGGGCGTTGGGTCCCCCCCGTCCCTCGCCACCGGATCGTTGATGCGAGCATGGCGTGAATATCCGACGCTCCGTCAAGCATGGAGCTCTTCACCGTCGATAGTTCCATATCCGTCGCATCCTGGCTGCCCCCTCCTGCTGCTATTGCTACTGGTTGGGAGGAGGCGGGCTCGCAGGAGTGACAACGACTGCAGCACGAGTATCCCCGCAGCCAGTGGCAAGACAATGCTTGCGCAGATATCTAGTGGCCTTTGGACCATCCCGCCAGCGTGCCCAGGTCGTGGACTAGAGGTGGAGGCCTGGTGGGGTCTCTTGAGGGGCAAATGGGGGGGCCTCTTGGGAGACTCTCGGATTTCTCAGCGCCTCCATGGCTAGAAGCTTGCAGAATCACTACCAGACAGCACTTGGCATTCTAGCACGCCCCAGCGTGTGAGGGCGCACAGTGGCGGATGAGGAACATCCTGGAGGCCTGGCGGGGCGCACAATAGTTGTATCAGCTAGTCCACGCTTCCGCCCCTTCAGTCATGGGACAACCTTCGCGCGGCGATGTTCCGACGTAAGCCTGTAAAACCGACGTGAACCCGGTGTATTCCGACGTGAACCCGACGTGGATCCGACGCAAATTCGGTCTCGAGTTGCCGCGCGAGGGCTCCAGGATTTTCCTCCTAACAGAACGGCCGCGGCAGCGTCTTGGTATCTGCTGCTGGGCTTGCGTGTCCCGGCGGAGCGAGCAGGCCTTCGCGCTCACGCCCTATGCGGCGCAGGGCGACGAGCGCGGCTGCCTGCGCGTCATGGAGGCGCGGGTGGGTTTTGCACTTGCGTAACCTGTCTTTGGCACGGCTGCCTGGGGCGCAGGGGTGGCTGCCAGCTGTCGAAGAAGAGTGCAGGGAAGCTGGGTACAGTGGCTGGGGCCAGCCCTTCCAATCTTTCCAGCCCAGGCCAGCTCCCCTAGAGCTTTTCCAGCCTTGGCGACGGTGTCCCAACTGCTTCGGGCTACCTAACTTTCGGTCAGCTTCCCGGCAACACAGTGGCCTGAACATGATAAGCTTTTGGAGATCCCCCGCGTCTTCGCAGATTCTTCCCTGGGGATCGGCACGGGCCCACCCTGGCGGCGCCTCCGGGCGCCGCACCCTGGCGCGCCCCGCGCGCCAAGGGGGGGGGGTGGGGATGTCCAGCGCGGATCCAAAGACACACCCGCGCGGAGTTCGTCGTCTTTCGGGGCACCCTCGCGTCGTGGAACAAGAAAGCACGGCCGGAGGTTCTTCGCTCTTTGATTGGCCTCTTGGGGCCCTTCCGGTGGCCCCGTGTTCCAAGACCCAGCGATAACTTTTCAGGGATTCCAGGTCACCACCTGATATCTCACCACCTGGTTTGGGGGCTCCCAAAGCTAGCGATGGACAATCGGTCCCCGGGAGTCCACGCTGTGAAGACATCACCACGTCGGGGGCGCGAGTCTTCTTCGTTTTCCTCCTCCAGATGCCAGATACCTCTGGGGCCTCTTGTCCCTGAGGGCTTGACGATTCTTCGTCAGTCGACTTGTGGGAATCAACCCGGAGAAATCAAGGGGAACGCAGATAAATGGAGGTAAATCCAAGTAAATCTAGGCCGATCCAGGTAAATCCACGGACCTCCAGGGCAATCTGGAACCAATCGTGGCCGCTCCAGCGCGAGTCGAGGGACGGCAGAAGTCGTTAATCAGGACGGGAAAAAACACACAGACACAATTAATCCTCGATCCCCCAGAAAATATGGGAAAATATGAGAAGTGGGGGGGGAGACAGAAAACCCAGAAAATATGGGAAAATATGGGGAATCTTTTTATTTGTGTGTATTTATTAGTGTGTCCTGGGGCCCCTTCAGTTAAGCCCTTACGATCTTGGAGGGAGCTGGCGAGCCGTCAGGCACACGTTGGCGTGTGCCTCTGGGCATCTGTGGGGTCGTATGCGACTCCTAGGGTCGTAACGTTTTGCCTCGTTGTCTCCTGGGGTCGTGTACAAGAACTTCGGCACCGCCTGTTTTCTGAGCCCTCCGGCCGCCCGAGGCCCCGCCCGCCCGCGCCCTGCCTCCCCAACTAGGGCTACCCGCGTCCCGCTTAGCTCTTGACCGGAAGGGGCCCGCTCCCGACCCGCAGACCAAAAAAGTGCCTCTGGGCATCTGTGGGGTCGTATGCGACTCCTAGGGTCGTAACGTTTTGCCTCGTTGTCTCCTGGGGTCGTGTGCGAGTCCTTGCATGCTTTTTGTCACGAGCTCCCATTTGTCGGCAGCTTCAGGACGTCGCAAGTCTACGAATAAGAATGCAGGATGCCTAGCTATGCCTTGGCCAGGTCGGGTATCCTAGGGAGGGCAACGTACGAGGAGAAGGGGGAGCAGAGGAAGAGCGGGACGATGCGGTCAATGACGGGTGGGAGGGGGATGAGGGCGAGGAGTACCAGAGGAGTGAGTGAGGTTCGGAGTAGAGGTTCCACGGGATTCGATTGGCCAATCGTGGATACGCGAGATGAGCACGCACATCTCCCGGTCAGGACGCGTTCAGGGCCTCCCCGTCTCCCCATCCCTCCTTCTCACCTCCTGTTCCTTTTTCCCTCTCTGCGCTCCTTCCCTCCCCTCCTGCTCTCTTTCCTTTGTCCTTTCATCAGCTCGTTTACCCATCCATCCATTCCGACGTTCTTCAGTCCATCCTTTCTCTCACTGACTCATCCTCAGCCTTCTTCATAATTTCAGCGTCGCTCATTGGTTTGATCAATCAATGAGCCAATTCTTGTGCGTTCACCCTTTCGTTTCTTGGTTGATTGTCTGCACGTTCACTCATCATTTTCCTGCTCACAGAGCGGCAGAGCTACAAGACATCATGAGCCTCGGCCAAGGGCACATGATGACCTCTTGCGGAACCTGTGCGGGCCCAGCCCCTGCACAATCTACAGACTCTCAGGCACCGCCACTGCCCTGGTTCTTCAGGTACAGGCATTTGCGGTCCGGTTCTTTCAGACTGCCCCCACCTCATGGGACATATTAGGGGGCCACATGTGAACCCTACCCCTACCCCCTACGATTTCCGAGGGGGAGGGTGGGGTCCAGGAGACACCGAGGACGACTTTCGCACTCGTATTGCGTTGGGGTAAACGTATGTAGGGGGCCACATGTGAACCCTACCCCTACCCCCCACGATTTCCCGAGCGAAGTGAACCCCACCCTCCCCCTCGGAAATCCTGGGGGGTAGGGGTAGGATTCGCATGTGGCCCCCTACATACCTTTGCTCCCGCGCAACACGAGTGCGAAAATCGTCCTCGGTGTCTCCTGGACCCGCACAGCCCCGCAGGGGAGCCCTTTCGGTCGTCGGGCGAGCCCGGGAGCAGTGCTGGAGCTCCCTGCGGGGCTCCGACCTCTCCCCCTCCGACTCCCCCCTCCTCCTGCTCCTGCTGCTCCCCACCTATCTATCTATCTATCTATCTCTATCTATCTATCTATCTATCTATCTATCTATCTATCTATCTATCTATCTATCTATCTATCTATCCCCCCCGCACTTCTCCTGCTCCTCCCCAGCCTCCTCGTCCTCCTCGTCCTCGTCTCTCTTCTTCCCTCGATCCCCTCCCGCTCCTGCTCCTGCTCTGTCTCCTCCCGTGGCTCCCCGTCCCCGTCGTCGGGACAGGACGGCCGATCTCTGGCTCGTGCGATGCGCCGGGTCTGCCACGTCTGCCACCCGGACTCGGGCACGAGGCCACGGCCTCGCGGGCCCTGCCTCAAACCAAGGGCGCAAATAGGCGACCCCGCCCTGGTTTACGAGGCGCTGTTCGCTGAACCTCCTGTGGGCTGACAGAGTATACACTTTGCGTATCGCGCGCGTCGCGCGTCCTGGCGGTTCTCTGGCCTTTTGGGGGCTCCCAGGAGGTTTGGAGACCACGCACTTGTAACCCAAAGTAGGGGCGTTTTTTTCATCCTTCATCAAGGGGCGCGGGCGCACACCATGCCTTTGTCTGAGGCCGGCGCGGACCAGATCCGGCGGTCCACTCTGATCGATGATCCTCCACTTCGGATGCAACTCCTGCGAGTTCAAATGCTGGCTTTGCCCTGGTCCGAAATCCGTCTTTATTCGGTTTAATCCCGCTGAATCCGGCTTAGTCCCGCTTAATCTGGCTTGCTCCCGCTTAGTCCGCGGCCTAATCTGGCGTAACAGCCCCCCAATGAGGCTCAATTCTTCCTCATCCTTCCGACGAAGACCTCCCAGTAGTTGCCTCCTAACTCCACCTCCACCTCCTCCGCCTCCTCCGCCTCCTCCGCCTCCGCCTCCGCCTCCGCCTCCGCCTTCTCCCCCGCCTCCCTCCTCCCCCTCCTCCTCCTCCTCCTCCTCCTCCTCCTCCTCCTCACTTCCCCTCCTCCTCACTTCCCCTCCTCCTCACTTCCCTCCCTCCCTCCCTCCCTCCCTCCCTCCCTCTGTCCACCCTTGGCTCTGCCTGCGCTGCCACCCTCTTCACGACTCCCGCGCGAGGGGCCCAGCGCCACGGCGCCGCGGCTCCGCCCTCGGAGGGCGCGCCGCTCGGCGCGCGCACGAGCGCCCCTCTCCGCCTGGGCACGGCCACTCCCTTTCAGTCAACGCGCATAGTAAGGACAAACGACTTTTTCAGGGGTACCCTTGGGTCCTTGCCTGCCTCAGCCTCTGCGGCCCGTCCCTAGCAATTTTCGCAGGCCAGAATACTTCAACTTCGGCCTCCAAGGGTCTTGCGTCCTTACCACGCGTCCTTACTATACGTTTTCACTGTACCGGGGGTGGCCAAGAGGGGGGTGATAACAAGGGGGGATCTCATGGCGGTGACCATGACACCTCCCCAGATTTCATGGCGCCTCTTCTTATCTCATTACGTCCGCGGCCCACCCCCCTGGGCCGCGCACGTGCCGCCGGCCATGATTTGCGCCCCCCTTCTTGGGCGCTCCCCTCTTGGCCGCTCCCGACCCTTCTGGAGGCCCCGCCCGGATCTCCAGGGTCAGCGCATGGGCAGGGGAACGTACAAAGACATAGCTATAAAACTCTGCGGTCCCCGCGGATTCCTCGGATCGGCGTTGGGGCCCCCCCGGCGGCGCCTCTGGCGCTGCCCCTGGCGCGCTCCGCGCGCCATGGAGGGGGTCCAGCGCCGATCCG